GGCCAGGTCTAAAAGCCGATGTCCGTTGCAAATTACGACATAGGTCACGAGATGTAATTAGGGTTAGGTTTAAGAATTTGGGGGACAGGTTATATCTCCACATAAGGACTGACCCTATTTACAGACCAAAAACACTCTCATCAAAATCGTGAGGAATGTAATACCAGAACACAAAATGTGTACAGATCATAAGAGGATATATCATAAGAAATAACAGGACTAGGAGAGAGGGAGAGAGAGGGAGAAATGGGGTTTAACGTCCACTCGACACAAACTTGGTCATTTCGGGACTAACATATGGTTTAATTTTATTTTAATAATTCGCTTGCGCGTAGGGGTCTTTAGCAGTGGGAAGAAACCGAAGGACACGGAGAAAACCCACGAGATTGGACAGGCGACCATACTCCTTGTCACGTACAATCAGGGATTCGAAACATGCCAGTTGACTCAATGACAGGCCTTGTGATACAGCACGCACGTGCTAACCATTCGACCATCCAACCCCCATCACTACACGAAATATCGTTAGCGATTGCCAATTGTTTCCATTTAATAAAACTTCTTCTATACTTCAAAACTGTATAACGTTAGAATCATCCAGCAGATCAGTTAGCATTCTTATTTTATCAACTAGACATTCAGGCAACTCTTTTATTTCCCCCAGGTGGCTCTGCATAGATATATGCAATTTCAAAAAATAAAAAAAATAAAATAAATTAGTTTTACACATATAATATACAGCAACCAAAATAATAATAGGGTTACTAAAGTCGTCTCGAAAATAATTTATAATTAAAAAAAACCTTCGTCAAAGAAATACATTATTGTCAACAGTGACAAAAAAGAGACGAACCAATCGGAACATGCTCGTAATAAAATTCGTTTACAGTGACTAACAGTTTCAATATTGCCAAAAGTATGTTCACAAAAATATTTTTCTAAAACTACAAGAGCCTTCTAATCCATCTATTTCACAAACGATACTCTAAAATCGGGCATACGAAAATTTAAATGGCTTTACTAAAACGGCCTAGAATGTTGGAATGTGAAATGAAATGAAATGAAATGAAACGGGGTTTAACTTCCTACTGTTCTGCTCCTATACTGGGCTAATGAAGACGGGCATACGCTTACTCTTATATCGAATTCCAACTGCCAAGGGATCTTTTACGTGCATTCCAATGCAAGACTGCCCCAGATGGACACGATATAAGTCAATATGGAGCAGATATCCAGAGGAGGGCTATAGCAGCTCCACACATTTCTCCACGTGTTTCTCTGTGTGTTTTAGAACACGACTAATTAAATGAATAAGTGGTACAATTAGGCCATTAATTTCATGCCAGTCAATATACAGTGAAGGCATCAGTAGTGCCAGGATTCCAAAATCTGAAATAGAAAACAGACAATTTTGCATTATAATTGGATGCAAACCAGTCACACACATGGAACCCCAAAACGTCTATAAATTATATCAGAAAATTGTACAGAAATTCTCCAGTTATCATCATCTGTAATTGCAGACAAAAACAAAAATCATCTCTTTCGTTTTCAATCTATATCTAACGTAATAGATGATTTTATGCAAGTTAAGAAAATATCAAAAGCTATATTTTAGAAAATCTGTTTTCATACTTTCATACTACAATGGCGACAACCCCTTGGTTACCTGTAAACCATTTAACACGACTCCCGTGCAAACTATGTATAAAACCCGTTTCGTTGGCCCAGTCGGAGCAGAACAGTAGGACGTTAAACCCTATTTCATGTCTATTTCACATACCGTCTGCGATCCCGTAAGCATCGACACTTAAAGTCAGGGGGGATCATGGTGATTAAGTGGGTAAGACGCTGGCTCGCTAACCTGGAGGTCGGTTGTTCAATCCCTGCATTGGCCAAGAAAGTTCATCCAGATTTTCCGACGTGGTTTCCCCTTGTCAGTGAACAGCTTCTAGTCGTTCGGATGGGACGAAAAACCGAGGTCCCGTGTACACATTGGCGTACACGTAAAAGATCCCTTCCCTCATAGCACACTGTATGGCGTATGCCCGTCTTCATTAGCCCAGTTTTGGAGCAGAACAGTATGGCGTTAAACCCCATTTCATTTCATTTCCTAAAGGCAGAATTGTCTGCACCAATATAAACTATCTTAGAACAACACAGATTGTAAAAAAACAAACTTGTCTATGAATTGAAGAGAGAGAGAGAGAGAGAGAGAGAGAGAAATGGGGTTTAACGTCCACTCGACACAAACTAGGTTTAATTTTATTAACATAATTCGCTTGCGCGTAGGGGTCTTTAGCAGTGGGAGGAAACCGGAGGACCCGGAGAAAACCCACGAGGTTGGACAGGCGACCCTACTCCTTGCCACGTACAACCGGGGATTCGATACCACGCCAGTCGACTCAATGACAGCCTTTATGATACAGCGCGCGCACGCTAACCATTACAGCCATCCACCCCCCCCCCCCCCTTATGAATAGAAGAAACAAGAACTTAATCTGTAATAGACTAGTATTTGATAGTTGTATGTAAGAATTCCATGACAAGGCGGAAGCTAAATATTTATACTCAAGAATTTGGTCATAATTTGAACAATATTCCCGGTGACAATCGACGTTGAAATAAGCTGCTCTACTAATCTAGCCAATAGACGAAGATGAACTCGACCATGATGCTTGGATTTTAAAAAGACAATTATTAATATCCACAACAGTATCATGTATCTTCTCTAAACGTTTATGGCGTATGGAAATTGAGCCAGAAAATGAATCAAATCGGACACCCAACCAATGTAGTTCTTGGCTAGGCAACCATGTTGATATTTCAGGGCAGGGAACAGATCCACTATCAATTAGATCTTTTTTAATCCAACAAAGGTGGAGTTTCAAATCCGTTGTTCAAATAAATAACTACTTATTTACCCTCACCTCGCCTCTCCACTTATCTATATTAGGTCTTGTAATTTAAGTACATACGGTGCTAAACTAAAGCCGAAAGGAATTTAAAATATTTACAAACACCATTAAATCGCAGAGAACCCGATCTTCAATCTTATCAAGGCCTTCGCCTAACACTACATTTTCCGTAACCAAGTCTCGCCCTTTCCAAAGGAAATGTCTAGCTGTGATAACCGACTTGCAAAGTTCAAGGTTCGTTCAATGCCAAAGTTGCTGTAACTTTTCAGCTATGACCCACTTCACATCTTAGTCCAAACTTTTCTAGTTTACTTTTCTGTTCTTCCATTATGCTATGAACTATTACAGCCGTAAAAAACTATTGTTGACGATTCTGAATAGCAGTAATATTTAGCTGTTTGAGTATTACAGCAGCTTTAGAAATTACATTCATTTTATTTTTTAAATTGCTTTATCATTAAACATGCATTATGACGTCACATTAATAATGATGTCATTGTATTAATCATATTAAACATACATTATGCAAGAGCTAAATCCGCCAAATGCAGGTCTTTCTTTAGGCCTGAAATGTTATCTAAATTACTAATAGCCATTAATTAACTTATCCACATCATAATCAACTCTCAAAAGCATCGCTAGCCTGCGATATTTACTGGATTATGATCCCATTTGCTGCTCGACTTCCATTCATAATTTAATCATGAAATGGATGATCGAAACTATGTTTTTTATCGTACAGACTTTAGTACAGATTGCCTTTACATTGTCTTGTTTTTAACTATACCCTTAGGAGCGGCATCTTTTGGTTTAGTACAAAGAATATCTCTTGAAACACTCGGGTTAGACAAGAACATGATAGTAGCAGTAGCTTAATTCTACTTTTATAGAGAGAAATGGAGTTTAACGTCCACTCGACACAAACTAGGTCATTTCGGGACTTAACATATGGTTTAATTTTATTTCAGTAATTCGCTTGCGCGTAGGGGTCTCCCAGCGGGCACACAACGTTGTGACAACATTGTTCAGGGGTTGTATCACAACGTCTGAAATAGGTCAGCTGTAGGTTGTTTTGCAACAAACTCTTACGTTGTGACAACGTTGTACGGACGTCAAAGCAACATTGTCACAACGTTGTGTGGTGGTTGACGAAAAGTTGTGACAACGTTGTACGGACGCCAAAGCAACATTGTCACAACGTTGTGTGGTGGTTGACGAAAAGTTGTGACAACGTTGTACGGACGTCAAAGCAACATTGTCACAACGTTGTGTGGTGGTTGACGAAAAGTTGTGACAACGCTGTACGGACGTTCAAGCAACATTGTCACAACGTTGTGTGGTGGTTGACGAAAAGTTGTCACGACGTCAGAATTTGTTGTTTTTCAACGTTGTGTGGTGGTTGGCGAAAAGTTGTCACGACGTGGGAATTTGTTGTTTTGAGGTTGTATAAAACCCAGTATAAGCCCCATCCGAACTCCCTACAGTTCTGCCCCCACTGGACTAACGAAGACGGGAATAGGCGGCCGGGCACGATGGAAGTTAAATTAGGTGTGTGTTCGGGGAAGGGGGGGGGTGCTTAAATGCCCGACAGATTTGGGCCACGGTTTTGACATAGTGAAACGATACGCGAAGTTTCAACACCCTCACTCAATTAGAATCAAAGTTATTGTGTCCCATCACAACCAATCTAATTGCTTCTTTCTGAATAAAATCAGTATCAATTAATAGGACAGTACGTAGTTTCAAAACATTCAATTCAAACGATTATATTACAGTCAATATTAATGCTAGAGTCATATAACTTTGCAGTAATGGGTAAAGGTAATAGAATCTGATCATTAAATTTTACGTAATGGTCATGTAATGAGTAATGGAAGATTTCAAAAGTAATGAGTAATGGAAATGTAATTAATTACATTCCGAAAATCATGTAATGGTCAATTACATTTCAATTACATTTAATGGCGCATTCTTTGAATGGCATTTAGTAATTAGAACATAATCAAATAACGCACTTTTATGAAATAACAATTACTATGGTTTATTTCACTGCAACGTTTCAACAAGATTTCACAAGTCGTTTTCAAGCATATATACACAAATAAATAAAATGAGAAAGATATGAATATATATATATAAACATCAGTGCGAACTATCCAATGGTATGCATGTCTTTAAATCTGATTGATTAAATGCTAAATTAGCACTAATCTTTAAATAGTAATAAAATGTAATTATTTACTTTCAATGTAATGGGTAATGAATGATATTGCTAAAAATGAGAAAGTAATTTCAATGCAATTGGTACTGTAATAATAATAATAATTTATTATTTATAATGCGCCTATTACCAATATAAAACACTCAATGCTCAATGGCGCAGTTAACATTTTGTGGACATCACACATAGAAAATAAAATAAAATTAAATGGATGATAAAAGAACTTAAAATGGCTTATAAAGATTATAATAAAATATGACATGTAATAAACAAATTTAAACTGTACATGTACTTAATTGGTCCCTCTTCTGTCCGGCTCATATTTTAGATGAGCCGAAACTGCTGTTATTATCTCGGCTTCATTGCAGCTCGGCTGACTGATCATTACACTATCTGAAGAATACAAAAAACTGTATATTTACTCTGTCAAATTTTGTAAATTATATAATTCAGTCCGATCAAAAAGGTGGTCCTAAAGCTGTAACAGATAATTCTGCATCCCATGAATTATGGACCAAAGGTGGCTTATTGGGTAAAACGCTGGCTCGCTTGTCTGGAGGTCGCATTTTCGATCCCTACATTTGCCGAGAAAGTTCAGTAGGCCTGACAAGGACAACTGTTAGTCGTTTGGATGGTATGAAAAACCAAGGCCTCGTGTACACATTGACGTGCAAGTAAAAGATCTCTTGGCAGTTTGAATTCGAGTAGGCCATAGTGCCGCTGCCCGGGCAAATTTTTCCTTCATTGCACGCGGTATAGCGCATGCCCATCTTCATTAGCCTAGTCTGAGCAGAACAGTAGGACGTTAAACCCCATATGAATTATATTATATATGACCCAATAACACATTCTATATGAGACATCGCTTGTGTTATTACTTTCATATTCTCCATAAATTTGTACGTGAAAGAAAGGCATGGGTGTTAAATTACAAAAAAGATAGGTTGCCAGGCAACGAAACATACGCCCACAGCAGCTAAATCGTCCGGGCAGTCAACAAGAGTTGTCGCATATTTTTACTTTTTTCGGTAATGAAACATTTATAATACACTAAAATCTGATTAAGAGCAACAACTCAGAAAACCATTAGAATTTGTTTGGTTTTTATAAAGTTCTGCCCCATGCTAACGTTTTGTATACAAAACTTTTAATACTGTATCATGGATTTAGCTGTCCAAGTCATAAAGATAGGTTGCCAGGCAACGAAACATACGCCCACAGTAGCTAAATCGTCCAGGCAGTCAACAACAGTTGTCACATATTTTTACTTTTTTCGGTAATGAAACATTTATAATACACTAAAATCTGATTAAGAGCAACAACTCAGAAAACCATTAGAATTTGTTAGGTTTTTATAAAGTTCTGCCCCATGCTAACGTTTTGTATACAAAACTTTTAATACTGTATCATGGATTTAGCTGTTTCAAGTCATAAAAATTCATTGAAAATCAATATACTTGTTTGCCTCAAGATCTTAAACTCTGTGTATCAATCTGAAGTCAATCGGATATTAACTTTGGCCTCTAGGGCGTCCCCAAGATTTTTCAAAGTGATCAAGGGCCATAACTTTGGCAGTAATTATCAGAAATCTTTGAAAATCAATAGGATTCTTCGCCTCGTGACCTCAAACACTGTGTATAAATTTAAAGTCAATGAGATTAACTTTAGCCTTTAGAGCATCCACAAGGTTTTTTGAAGTGATCAAGGGCCATAACTCTGGAAGTAATTATCGAAAATCACTGAAAATGAATAGACTTCTTCGTCTCATGACCTTAAACACTGTGTATGAATTTAAAGTCAATCGGATATTAACTGAGCGTCCACAAGATTTTTCAAAGTGATCAAGGGCCATAACTCTGGCAGTAATTATCGTAAATTGCTGAAAATCAATAGGCTTCTTCGTCTCATGACCTTAAACATTGTGTATAAATTTAAAGTCAATCGGATATTAACTTTGGTCTCTAGAGCGTCCACAAGATTTTTTGAAGTGATCAAGAGCCATAACTCTGGCAGTAATTATCGGAAATCACTGAAAATCAATAGGCTTCTTCGTCTCATGACCTTAAACACTGTGTATAAATTTAAAATCGATCGGATATTAACTTTGGCCTCTAGAGCGTCCACAAGATTTTTTGAAGTGATCAAGGGCCATAACTCTGGCAGTAATTATCGGAAATCGCTGAAAATCAATAGGATTCTTCGTCTCATGACCTTAAACCCTGTGTATAAATTTTAAGTCAATCGGATATTAACTTTGGCCTCTAGAGCGTCCACAAGATATTTTGAAGTGACCAAGGGCCATAACACTGGCAGTAATTATCGGAAATCGCCGAAAATCAATAGGCTTCTTCGTCTCATGACCTTAAACACTGTGTATAAATTTAAAGTCAATCGGATATTAAGTTTGGCCTCTAGAGCGTCCACAAGATTTTTTGAAGTGATCAAGCAATTGTGGACGCCGGACCGACGGACGAACGGACGGGGGCGAGGACAACATACGACCACATTTCAATGTCGGCGTATAAAAAGATCAACACTCATCGATGAAGTAATAAAAACTCGTGTATGCCCATACCATGTTTGATTATCCGATATTTAAGGATATGTTCGTAAATTGAGTATGATAAAAACAAACCTCTGACAACTTTGTAAATTTCTAAGTCCATTATGGACCGCCTCCCTTTATTTCCCTTTAAATTAAATTGGGCCATTAGGGAATTAGACATCAACCTGTTAAAATAAAAAGACATACTGTTTATGCGTTTGACAATACCACGAATTTTGACTTTCCATTCCTTGACACCTAGAAATGGACATAAATGGGTTGCAACGCATATAATAATGTAATATGTTTGTATATTAACTGATTTACATTCAATCGTTTCTGTTTTTACTGTAATGTCTAATCAGTTATGTTCGGCGAAATACGCGAAGAGAGAGAGAGAAATGGGGTTTAACGTCCACTTGACACAAACTTGGTCATTTCGGGACTAACACATGGTTCAATTTTATTTCAATAATTCGCTAGCGCGTAGGGGTCTTTTTAGCAGTGGGAGGAAAACGGAGGACCCGGAGAAAACCCACCAGGTTAGACAGGCGACCAAACTCCTTGTCACGTACAACCGGGGAATCGAAACCCCGCCAGTTGACTCAATAACAGACCGTATGATACAGCGTGCGCGTGCTAACCATTCGGCCATCCAATCCCCCATACGCGAAGAGTCCAAACTGAATGCCAGTCTTTGGCGTCTGGTTATTCAAGTTTACACCCGCATATAGTATTCTCTTGGGTATATTTAACTTCATTCTTCGAGTCTCTCTATTACAAATGAAATTTGAAAGCATTCTTGCACGCGATTCGTGTGGCAATTTCAAAACTTTAACTTTGTGTTAAATATTGGACATTAGAAGCCCATCTTTTTACGGTTACAACATTGATGTTGGGTTTAATTAAACAATGAGTCCCATGGTTGCAATGTCGAAGACTGTGGATGATATTGAGTTAGAGACTTGACTCCTTTAAGACGAAGACGATTGGAAAACGAATGTACGATTATTTTATCAATTTGTTTTCAAAAGAAAGAATACGACTTTAAACTGGTAACCACCAAGGCTCATCAGATGGGTTACCTATAGCTATAACATGAAATAAATGAAACACATCTAGTATATTATTATATTTCAATCACTGTAATATTTACAATCAATGTCAGTTCAATTATGCAGGTGTATGCTCATGGATATTGATGTTGTACATTTAATAATAAAATTACCCTTCACTTGAATTAAATCTAAAACCCACAAGCATGTAATTAAAGAGCTGTGGTGTTAACAGTCGCACTAGCCCGGCATTATATCCACCTGTCCGTAGATCGACAAAGTACAAGATTTAATTTTCAGAGCATATATGTTTTGTTGCGTGTCAACCTATCTTTTTAATTAAGATCGTAGACTTGGTTGCCTAATAATTAAGATGTATACAGCGACTTGGTTAACCGTTCATCGGTTACTACTGGTGAAACGGTTAAAAAAATTACAAACCGATATTCGTTTTCATATCATATTTGACATTCAAAACCAGGAATGGTAGCCAAATATGTTTTCATTCACTAAAGACTATATTAATAGTTCATACAGCACAAAGTTCATATAGCATTTGTCATTTGTAATATATCACGGGAAATTAATGTCTTATTAATTCCTGCTCGAAGTTTTGTACACGTTACATTATTATTAACACTCCCTGCAAAGCTTGGGGTCGTATCAACTTATCTAAACAATTCATGAAATTGGTAACCCTATAAATTTAAAGATAATAGATAATGGGAAAGTCCATTATACAATACTATAAATATTGAAATGGCCCCTTCCAATTCCAGACATAGATTGAAATAGCTCTTTCCAAATCCAGACATAGCAAATGACCAAAAACTAAATGATTAAAATGCAATACAATTATAAAATAAAAACACTAAATGGACACAAAATATTAATTAATCGTAACATACCTAATTCTCAACTGTTACGCCTTCTAGCAACTTATAAAACTCGATAGTTTATCACAGCTCTAAAAAAGCAGCCATGCCGGTTTGGCTGGGATTCCTTTTTGGCGGAAAGATGTTTAAATTTGATTGGGCCAACTGTCAACCTTGGGTGTGTTTTAAAATAAAATATGTATAAGATAATTAATCTTGACCTTTATTGGGTTTTTTTATATACCGGTACATTAAATATAGATATTTTGCAATTAAGTTTTAAAGGTGTAATAAACGTTTAATAAATGTTTTTTAAAAAAAAAAATTTTTCAAATGGCGTGTATAGGTAATTGTTACCTATTCATTGCGGGTTCTTTATAAACGGTTCATAAACGTTTAAAAAAATCATATTTACGGTACTACGTTTTAATGGAAAATTTTGTAAGAAAACATCAATTATGAACGTTATCTAAACATATTATATTAAACATTTTTATCAATATTTATCGAAAACTTCTGAAAAACTTACACTTAAAACATTTAAAAAACGTTTAATAAATATTTTTTTTTTTACATAACCTTTTAGAAACAAGAAAAATAACAAAAACAAAAACAAAAAACGTTTTTGAAATATTTTGTGCTTGCTGGGATTCACTTAGAACTGTAATTAATTAAATAATGGCCAGGTTTCACACTTATATATACTGAGCGCCATGGAAAACGCATCACTTAGTTTTTCGTATAACAAAATGATCCTGTAAACATATCTTATTTATTTTGCTTCTTATTGTGAACAATATTCAAATGGGAACACATCAATAACAACACATTTGTACACTTATGGATGTTTAATCTGTAATCAACGGTACAAAGTCAGAGGGGTCAAAACCAAAAGTACGGCACAGATGTCAGTAGCGCGTGTGTCCTCCACGGGCTTTTACGCACGCTGTGCAGCGACGTCGCATGGAATTAACCAATGTTTGAAAGAAGGCCTGGGGCAAATTGTTCCATTCTTGGACAAGAGCAGCTTCTAAAGCAGCAATGGTGTGCATCTGTGGTCTCCGATACAGACGGCGTCCAATCTCATCCCAGACATGTTCTATTGGTGCCATGTCCGGAGACATGGCTGGCCAGTTCAAGACATTGATGTTGTTAGCAGCCAGGAAGTCCATACTAAAACGGGCGGTATGCGAACGTGCATTATTCTGTTGGAAGTGCTGAAGTTGTGGGTGCGCTCGAAACATCGGAACAACAATTGGTTGCAAGACATCATCACGGTAGGCTACAGCATTAACGCGACCCCTGCAAATGTGTAGGGCGGTCCGGTGATGAAATGTGAAGCCTCCCCACATCATTACACTTCCCCCACCCCATCGATTCGTTTCGAAGACGCAGCAGTCTGCAAGACGTTCCTCAAGACATCTCCACACACGTTGACGGCCATCAGCGTGATAAAGATGAAAGCAACTCCCATCACTGAAGAGCACACTTTGCCAGTCTACTCTTCTCCATGTCTGGTGTGTCCTTGAGCCCCTATCAAACGCCGCTGACGGTGATGATCCCTGAGGATAGCTCCAACATAAGGTCGTCGTCGAGTCCTACTTCTCTTAGACGACGTCTTACGGTGTTGGCACTTACTGGTCCTTGTCTTTCGACCACTGCCGCACATGTTTGAGTCGCTGGGCAGAATCTGTCACGCAGATGAGTGACCCGGATGTAGCGGTCTTGAGCCTGGGTTGTAACGCGTTGTGGACCAGGACGTTGACGGTCACGCGTTGATCCAGTAACTCGAATACGTTCCACCAACCTTACAGTAGTGGACTGATGACAATTGAGGTGTTTGGCAATAATAGCACGCGTAGACATGCCAGCCCTGGACATTCCCATGGCTTCATTCCGTTGATTTTCAGTAAGTCTCGGCATCTCTAGCTCGATTCCTTCACACGTCCAACAACAAATTACGACAAATTGACGTTTCACAGTTCATGTACAACACATTAAGTTGAAAACATGCTTTTAAAGGGCTCACACACAATGCTGCACGTGAATATTGGGTTTTTCATGTGCATCTCATGCAATTTTTTTTGTGCACACGGACCGAAATTTTTTGCGTTTGGGAGCATTGTGTGAAACAATAGTTCATAGTATTGCATAATATTATACATACAAAACCAACTAGTAATAAAATAATTGGGAAAAAAAGTGATGCGTTTTCCATGGCGCTCAGTAATATAACGGTATCTACTTAAAATGATCATTTAAATACTTAAAAGAGATTGAATTGATTTCATTATTCTTTTATTATTATTTCTTTTTTTTATACCGGAATAGTATTATTAAATTTACATTAGCACTATTAGATGTCGATCTACGGCTGTTTTTATTAATAATTTGTTTAGTGAAACCGAATGATAAAAATTGCGTTAAGTCTACGTCGATCGAGATTTTGCCGTGGGTAACAAAACTCCGTCAAATCAAATAGCCCAGTGACGTGTAGAATAGATCAAATGGCTTGCTATGTGTCGCAAATTATTCGTTTAACGGCTATGTATATGAGTAATATGAAAAAACTAATGATGAGAGATTTCATTTAGATTAGATCTACTTGCGCAACACATCAACGCAAATGTCTAGCCTAGACTAGTGCAGATCACGTCGGTTCTAAATTCTACGTCGCTTGGCCTAGACTCGTGTATTCTGAGCGGACTGACACAATCATGCAGCTGGTCCAGCTAGTTTTAATAGTTAAAGCAAGAATTTCATATTTTCTAAGAAAGTCAAAACATAATTATTTCTATATCTTTTGCTCAATAGGCTGTCAACTCAATAATAACACCGGAAATAATAACACAATTACCACCTGTGTTGTTCTACCCCCCCCCCCCCCATGGAAAAACTATCTGCAAACATTTGAATTTGAAGTTGAAAATGATATTTTGGCCAATTTCTCAACTGGCAATAGTGATCAAGGTAGGACTGTTTATAGATACCATCTATTTTAAAGCTTTACTTTAATACATTTTAAAAATATAACTTAAAAATATGAAATTCACTCGGCACAGTTGCAGTCTGAGTGTGTTTTGAAATGAACGTCGCCACTTACATCGCGGTCGTCAACAAAGTCCATGCCTACATTGCCGGTAATCATATTCGAGGGGCTTTCATATTCAACTTAATAATAATAGTCTCTGTTACTACATGATGTATGTATAGGTGCGCGTGTTTTACATACATGTAAATATAGTTGGTGTTTTTGTTGTTTTATAGCCATTGATAATGCTGTTGCGTAGGTAGCCTAATGTTTTGTTTGTATTTGTATGCTGTCTCTAATAGCCTAATGGGGTGTTAAGATACAATATAATTTTATCTGATGTTATATTAGCCTTAGAAGAAGCAATTGACGATTTTTATATCCCTTCCACATACCCGGTTGAGAGTTAAAATAATAGAACTTACCTTCGGCACGAACCAAAAAACCAATATGGCGTCCCAGAAGCATCTTTCGCGGCAACATTTAGAGTCACGTTATCAGTTTCCGCGGGAAAAAAAACCGCTAGTGTTACCAGATAATTTACTGAAGAATTAACCGGAATATTTGTCAGCTTCTAGTTGTTTTACAATAAGCCTTAAATAAAATGTATTATAGTTTGTATTGTGTTATTAAATCTCGATCTACGTCGTTAACCAATACAACTGTACCCAAGATCATACGTCAATTTCTATAGATAAGCGCATTGCAATTCCTGTTTTATGCACTGAATTTGTGTAGCAAACGCTGCACACTACACAATATGCATTAATCACCATTTTCTGTGCTTTGTGTTATTATTTCAATTGAAAAACACCGGATGTAAAAACAGCGACATTTAGGTGCGGGAGAGGCATCTCGTTTACAGTTCATAATACATTTTTATAATACTTGACGGACGCAAACGCCTTTTCTTGCTTTCCCAACCCGTGTGCTCAGCAACATGAAAGCAAGCCAGTATTGCCTATTTAGTACACCAATAACTTTAATGCATTAAAGGAAATTATGATTTCCGAAAAATTATAAAACAAATAAATGACCGATGTCGCACACCGCCGAGTGGGACCCGACGAAATGTTTCAATCCGCTATCAATGCAGTACAAATTCGCCGTGTTCAATGACAAGAAAGTGAAAATGTTTTATTATACTTAAAAATCATCGAATTTGGGGCTCTTTATTTGACTGACAAGAAAGCAAAATATTTTCTTCCAAATAACATTCTGAAAGTTCCGCTTTCACTTTCTCTCGGGATTTTGAATGTGACTTTTTACCTAAATTGCTGCCGGGAACAGGGAATGTCAGGCAATGTCATGACCTTGACTCAGGTTACAACCCCAAAATTGACCTTGCGGGTGCGGGTCACGACTTTGACCATGACATTTATTCGCGATATCTGGGTGGTACATGAAGTTTTGGGACTTTTTCGATCCCAAGGTCAAGGGTCAGGTCAAAGGTCAAGGTCCCATTCGAAAGGTCAATGAGTTGCCTATCCATGGTCATGACCTTTGATTTGCCGCGCAGACCAGGGGCCCCACCATGTGCCCGGGAGCATCGAACTCAGTAGATATTTTGGTGACCTTGACCCTTTCAGATGACCTTGACCTACCGGGGTCATGTGGACCAAGATGACATTTTGGAAGGTCAAGGTCCAGTGGTCCTGACTTTATTAGATAGGCCCCTAGGGTTCAAAAACCAAAATACTTCCGGGGCCCCTAGCGGGTCAAGGTCACGACTTTTGGTTGGCGATTTTAAAAAATGAAGAACAAATGTTGGGTCAGTCTATCGGGTCACCAAACCCTGGGGCGATCGGAAGACATTTTTGGGGCAAATTTCCCTAGAAAGTGAAATAGCTGAGCATTACAGCGGTGTGGTCTAAGGGCAGATAACTCGCCAATCCCAAATCGGATCCGACGACCTTGAGGTCGTGGCTATTTAAACTAAATTGACCCCTGGGAGTCTCGTGGTGACCTTGGTTTGACAATCAGAGGTCAAGGTTCGAACTGCTATATATGACGTTTCGATAACGTTATGACAATGTTGTGACAACGTTTTAACAACGTTGTGACAACAACCTGTATATGAAGTTTTGATAACGTTGTGACAACGTTGTGACAACAACCTGTATATGACGTTTTGATAATGT